TTTTGCCAATATTTTCTCAATGAAGCTTGAAAGTCATCATTCCCAATGAGCATTCCACAGGAGGCCATTACTCAAGCCATGATGACCAGCAGAGTAACTGTGGATTGCAGTATTGTAGTTGTTACACTGTTCATCCTGGTTGTGTTGTAGGTGGAAGGATGTGGCTGGGAAATGGAGTTACAGCTAGTTTCTGGCATCAATGATGTGTGATAGATATCTCACAGGGGAGGCAATGGCCTAGTGGTATTATTGCTAGGCCACTAATCCAGAGACCTAGTAATGCTCTGGGAACCTGAGTTCAAATCCTGCCAAGCATCTGGAATTAAAGATCAAATGATGACCCTAATTCCATTGTTTGGGGGAAAAAACTCATCAGGTTCCCAGTGACTAGGACACTGACAGACCAAGTGAAAGGTGAGCCCTCCTGATTCCTTTCCCCACAGCCTACAACAATGTTCTGACTACCCTCTTAGATCTCCTTTTATCCTCTTCATGCTCCCACTCTCTTTTCTTTTCCCCTTCTCTTCTGTCTTCTCCAGCCTTGGAACTCATGGCCTCGTAGCGCCCAACCTCCGACTTGGCTGCCTCAAAGCTCTCGGCCTTGGAACTCTTGGCCTTAAAACAGACCTGCTGAGGCAGTCTCTCAGCCCAGCGTGACATCCTCTCAGCCTGTTATGGCAACCTGCTGGCCCAGCGTGGCATCCTTTCAGTTCAGCATAGTGGCTTTAAGGTGGTGTATGGCAGTCTGTTGGCCTGGCATGGTCTTGGTGTGGACTTCCAGTCTTGAAGTGATACCAGAGCAAACTCCTGGTCTTGTGAGCCCTGAGGTGAAGGCAGGTGCGGTCTGGATCAAGGCCCAGTGTGGACTGGAGCCTAGGTGTCAACATGGATTGGGTCAGAAGACCGTTTCTCTGTACATTTTTTCTCCGTTTTATAATTTATTCCTAAATCTGCAATGCTGGACTTTTTTAACTTCTTTTTTACCCCAAGAACTGTAATTGACAAAGCTCGATTTAGGGACCTTTGCACCTAAAATGGCACCGTGAATGGCGACTTGCACACTTTCAACTGTACTCATTTGAGTACATGTGACAATAAAGTTAATTCATTCATTCATTCACCCTTTAGGGAAGGAAACTGCCATCCTTACCTGGTCTGGCCTACATGTGACTCCAGACTCACAGCAATGTGGTTGACTCTTAACTGCCCCCTGGGCAATTAGGGATGGGCAGTAAATGCTGGCCTGGCCAGTGACTCTCTCATCCAGTGAATGATTTAAAAAGCACACTGACCAGGGAATGCTCTTCAACTGTGGGGTGGTGCTACAGTCAAAGTATAGAGTTGTTTATAAAATCTAGCAACATCAACGGGCATAATTAATTCATTTTTCTTATGTTTCTAACTATTCCATATTTTTGACTGAAAAGAAAGGTGTTTCTAAAGAAAAACATGTTTTTTTTCTATTTGGTTCACTGATGACCATGTGTTCAGCTGTCTGGCTCTAAGCTCTAGAATTCACTTCTTATATCTCTCTGTCTTTCCATTTCGTTTCCCTTCCTTCGAAACTCTTTGAAGCTTACCTCTTTGATTAAGCGTTTAGTCATGAGACTGAACACCTCCTTTTGTGATTCAGCTTCAGATTTTGTGACATTTTTCCACCTTAAAAGGTGCAGGTTGTATTTTTGACACTAGTCTGAATAAATCAAAGCAATTTAACAGATCAATAAGTTAACCCTGTCATTTTGTAAGATGTATAACCTGCTACCTTGCCTCTGTTTTCTGTCCTTCAGAAACCTCTCCTTTATTCTGGGACACTGCTCCATGTGAGCCAGGCTCCCTCTGTGCCTTGCCTATGTGGCCTCTCTTCAGCTGTGTAACCAAACTCTCCTTTCTTAGGCAGACCCTCGATATCGAGGATGACTTGCTTCCACTCTGAATTGATGTGCTGTGAGATGACTGACAAATCCAGTGAGTGATCTGTAGCACGTGGTATCCAACGGCTGGGGGTAGATGGGACGTTTGGGGATCTGTGTGCTCCTGTGACCTCTCGACCTCTTGTCTGCATAATTCCCAACAGTCTCTAGGTCCTTCCCAAATGAGCCCTTTCCGATTTGGCAGCTCATGAACCAGCTTGTTCCATGAGTCTTCGGGGAATGCCTGACCTATGCAAGGATGCCTTGAGAACATCCCTGACACATTTCTGCTGCCCTCCCAGGAGTCTCCTGCTGTGGCTCAGTTCTGAGTGGAGCAGTTACATTGGGAATCTGGTGTCTGGCTGATACCCATTGGAGCTGGTTTTGAGTGGTCTGTGGGAGCTGATGGGTGTAGTGGTGTTAATCCAGACATCCAAGTAATGTTCTGTGAGCCTGATTTTGAATCCTGCCAAGACAGATGGTGGAATTTGAAACCAATAAATATTTGGAAGAGTGACCCTGAAACCATTGCCAGACCATGGGGGTGGTACAGTAGTCCAGTGGTTAGCACTGCTGCCTCACAACACTAAGGACCCGCGTTCGATTTCAGCCTCAGGTGACTGTCTGTGTGGAGTTTGTACAATCTCCCTGTGTCTGCATGGGTTTTCTCTGGGGGCTCTAGTTTCTTCCCACAGTCCAACGATGTGCAGGTTAGGTGAATTGGCCTTGCTAAATTACCCCATAGTGCCCAGGAATGTGCAGGTTAGGTGGATTGGCCATGCTAAGTTGCCTATAGTGTGCAGGGATGTGCAGGCGAGGTGGGTTAGACATGGTAAATGCAGGGTTATGTGGATGGTGTAGGGGGCTGGGTCTGGGTGGGATGCTCTTCGGCGCAGACTTGATTGGCCAAATGGCCTCTTTCTGCATGGTAGGGATTCTATGATTCCATTGCCGATTGTCAGAAAAACCCATCTGGTTCACTAATGTCCTTTGGGGAATGAAACTGCCACCCTTACCTGGTCTGGCCTACATGTGACTCAAGACCCACAGCAATGTGGTTGACTCTTAGCTGCCCTCTGGGCAATTAAGGATGGGCAATAAATGTTGGCCTGGTCACTGACACCCACAATCCCACTAATAAGTAAAACAAAAAGAATTTTTAAAAATTACGTGGTTATAGGAACTGCCGGTGCTGGAGAATCTGACATAACAAGAATTAGAGCTGGATGAACACAGCAGGCCAAGCAGCATCAGAGGAGCAGGAAAGCTGATGTTTCGGGTCTGGACCCTTCTTCAGAATTTCTGCATTTCTGAAGAAGGGTCCAGACCCAAAATGTAAGCTATCCTGCTCCTCAGATGCTGCTTGGCCTGCGGTGTTCATCCAGCTCCACACCTTGTTATCCTAAAAAATTATGTGTTGTTGTTGGGCAAGTTGGCTTATGAAAGGACTACCTCACATGCCACTGGATTTGGAGAATCTGGTGATGGCACCACTGGAAATGCATCTCCAATGAGACCTGCACAATGCACAGTAGATATTGGAGCCAAACACTGAAGTGTTTGGACTAGGAATCACCAATTCCAATTATGTACTTATCCACATTCGTACAAGTGTGCTCCTGAACTTCTGAGTGAGGATTGAAATGTTTTTCTCTCTTGCTCCATTGCCATCAAATTCAACTATGATGTCCTCTGTTCATCATGGTCAGCTAACTCTGGGTAGTATGGACTATGTAGAACTTAGAATGTTTCTGTTCCTTATGGATCAGGAGGATGGGAAAGGTTTTTAAAGTTAAGATATAAAAAACTCAAAAACCAAATGCAACTTCAAAAGTACAAATAAGAGGGAACAAAAATGGATGAAAGAGTACCTTGCATTTCGAATTCATTTTCAGGTTTTTCTCCTTAAGTGAAAGAAAAGGGTGCTGCTTTAGTTAAAGGGAGACAAGAGGAAAGGAAATAAATAATTGGAAGCTCTAGGATAACATTTGGCAACACAAAATTGGCGATCCTTCAGTAATTGTCCCCAACTGACACTTTGATAAATGAGACAGTCAGAAAACTGGAGAGCTGTGGCTGGGTTTTGAGAAGCAGCAGTCTGTTCTTGATGAATGTGTCCCCAACATCATCCTAGGCTTTGCATTATCCCAGGGGTTCAAAGCAGCCTGTTTTTCCTGGACTACAGCCATGATGCTGCTGCTATCCTCTGCATCTTGTAGAAACTGCTTTTTATACAGCTTCCTGGGTGACCTGTATTCGATTGGGTAGTTGGTGGTGGTAGCCATTGTGCCATGCAGTTTGGAATTGGCTCCTGCAAGTCCTTAGCATGGACATACATTAGCATCAGCAGGGCTGTTCTGTCAGGTGTGGCAGTTAATGCCACATCCTCGGGAAATCCTGAAACAAAGATGTCAAAATTAAAACCAGTCTCCTGTGAGTTCAGCAATGATTTTCCTGGCAAGTTAGCACGAGTGTCAAATCCTTCCATAGCCTCACCTCTGTCTATCTGTGTAATCTCCTCCAGCTTTATATCTTGGTCCTCTAAGACCTAGGTATCTCTCCAATTTGACCTTTTGAACATCACTGATTCCATCGATTTGCCATTAGTGGCCATACCATCATCTGCTTTGGCCACAAACTCTGGAATTCTCTCCCTAAACCTCCCTGCCTGTCTAGCTAGAACTCTGCTGTTAGGGCATCCTTAAAGCTTTTTCCTTTGATCAAACATTTTACTTGCTAAGTTTTCTGTGAAAAGACTTTGAGACATAAAGCATGCTATAAAATGCAAGTTATCACAGTTATTACAGTTTGTGATCTGTCGATGAACTTGTTTGAAGGCAGTACTTTTGAATTCTCACTTATTGAGAACGTGATTTGTTAAAGGGTTGGGAGTCAAGGAGAAAATGAAGCATTCCCTTGCTTTTCTTTCAGGGAGAAGTTCATTCCCTTGGCAATGTGTGGTCCGTATCTTACCTGGTTCAAAATGGTGAATGCTGTGGCTAATGATGGACAACAGGTTGTGAGTGGTTGTGGGGTTGTCTGTGCTGACTGTTTAACTAACTAAGAATTGTGGTTTCATTCTGATAGGAGACCATCAAGTGGTGAAACTTCACTTGAAGTCCAAGGAGACAGGCATGACCTTTGCCAGCACCAGCTTTGTCTTCTACAACTGCAGTGTTCACCACTCGTAAGTTTGCCTAGATCTTACTTCTAGTTGTTCCTCCTTCAACAACAATGCATCACTGCAATGGGTCATTGGAGCACTATGCTTAGGGTCATGGTTCACTCCAGTTCACACTGACTAACGAAATGAAGACAAAAGAAAGACTTGGAATTATATCTCCTCAGCCTCTTCTTTTCAAAGGAGTAAACACCAGTTGATATAAGGATTGTTATTTCCACAGTGGGAGAGTTCATACTTATTTAGCTGTGAATCATAGAATCCCTACAGTGTGGAATTGTGCATGGCACAATGGCAAATAAATAGGCCATTCAGACCCTCTGAAGAGCATCCCACCCACACCCACCCCTCTACTCTATCCCTGTAGCACTGCATTTCCCAAGGCTAATCCACCTAGCCTGCACGTCTCTGGACACCATGGGCAATTTACCATGGCCAATCCACCTAACCTGCTTATCTTCAGGATCTCGTGGGGAAACCAGAGCACCTGGAGGAAACCCACGCAGACACAGGGAGTGTGTGCAAATATCACACAGACAGTCATCTGAGGGTGTAATTGAGCCTGGGTCCCTGGCACTGTGAGGAAGCAGTGCTAACCACTGAGCCACTGTCTAGACCAATATTTCACTTCATTCGTACTATTTCCAAGGGAAGAGTGCAAAGATGGGAAAAACAAGCTGACTAAACTTGGTAGAGCTACACTCTTAGGTTCAATCGAGCATAAGCTTAATTGACATCAGATATTTTGAAGTACTTACTTTCCTGATGGAAACTCAATGGTTACTGAGGGACTACAATTGAGATTGGTAACAGCTATCCTTCCTCATATAGATTTTGAGGTTGATTCAGCAGCTGAAAATCAACTCCTAAATATTTCTTTGTTTTTCTCATTTTTAATCAAATAAATCAGTCCTGGAAAAAAAATAGAAAATATTTCAATAAAATATTTATTGCCAGGAATTTAATTTTACTTTCACATAGCAGTTGATCGTTAAAAAGAGTATTGCAGAAAATGATTAATTGTTTATCGCTGTGCTAGTACTGCAGCAGTTTTTAATGATTGAGTTGGTCTATAAAGCGTTGAATAAAAGATTAAATAAATAGACCGTAATTACTGATGTCAACTTATTAAAACAGGCAGAGCCTGAAATTCTGCTGATTCCTTTCCCTCCCTCCTTCCCTCCCATTCTGCTGCAGGCATTCCCTGTGGGAATTCCCTGCGCTTTGTAAATAGACAAATCGAATAAAGCAAGGTATGGGGTGGACCTTTATAAAACACCCAACTGGAGTCTAATTCTGGGCATCACACTTTAGGAAGAATGTGAGGCTGTTTAACTATTGAAGTCCATCACTAGAGTGGACAGACTATGGAATAGTTACAATACAGGAGACCATTTGAGCCATTGTGCTGATTTTTACAACTCACCTGGTCCCAGTTTCCTGCCCTTTCCCCATGGCCCTGTAAATATATTCTCTTGAGGTAGATATCCAAATTCTTTTGAAGTTCATGCTTGAATCTGCCTCCAAATTCTCAAGCAGTGTATTCCAGATCCTAACCACTAGCTTCAGAAAAAACAAACTTACTTTTTGTCACCATTGCTTCTTTAAATTGGTACCCTCAGCTTCTTATCCCCTCTGTCAATGGGAGCAGTATCTTCCTTATCTACCACGTTCAGTAGTGCTGTAGAACAGAGAGACCCAGGTGTGCAATTCTTTGAAATTTGCATCACATGTAGGCAGGATGGTTAAGGAAGTGTTTAGCACACGTCTTTGTTGCTCAGACCTTTGAGTATAGGAGTTGGAATGTCATGTTGAGGTTATACAGAACATTGGTGAGGAATCTTCTGGAGTATTGTGCACAGTTCTAGTCGTTCTGTTATAGGTAGGATATTGTTAAGCTAGAGAGGGTGCAGGAAAGATTGAGCAGGACGTTGCTGGGAATGGAGGGTTTGAGTTAGGAGGAGAGGCTGGATAGGCTGGGACTTTTTTCATTGGAGCTTAGGAGGTTGAGGGGTGACCTTATGGAGGTTTATAAAACCATGAGTAGCATAGATGAGGTGAATGGCAGGTGTCTTTTCCCTAGGGTAGGGGATTTCAAAACAAGGGGGTATATTTTTAAGATGACAAGAGAAAGATTTAAAAAAGGAATGAGGGGCAACTTTTATATGCAGAGAATGATTCTTGTTTGGAATAACTTCCAGAGGACGTGGTGGATGCGGGCACAATTATAATGTTTAAAAGACATTGGATAAGTAAATGGATAAGAAATGTTTGGAAGAATATGGGCCAAATGCAGCCAAATGGGACTAATTTAGTTTGGGATTATGGTCGGCATGGACTAGTTGGACCGAAGGGTCTGTTTCTGTGCTGTATGACTCTATGACAACCTGCTCATGATTTTGAAAACTTCTGTTCAATTTCCTCTCAACGTTCTGTAAAGAGAACAGCCCCGGCATCGCCAATCTACCCAGCTAACTTAAATTGCTCCTTCCCGAGAACCAAATCTTTTGCAACCTCACATCCTTTCTCAAGTATGGTGCCCAGAATTAGACTCCAGTTGAGGCCAAACCAATGTTTTATAAAACTTCACCATACCTTGCTTTGTTCTAGTTGTCTATTTACGAAATCCAGGACCATGTATTGTGTTCAGTTCTGGTCACCTAATTACAGGAAAGATGTGGAAGCTTTAGAGAGGGTGCAGAGGAGATTTACCAGAATGCTGCCTGGACTGGAGGGCAGGTCTTATGAGGAAAGGTTGAGGGAGCTAGGGCCTTTTTCATTGGAGCAAAGAAGCATGAGAGGTGACTTGATAGAGGTGTACAAGATGATGAGAGGCATAGATAGAGTGGATAGCCAGAGACTTTTTTCCAGGGCAGAAATAACTATTACAAGAGGGCATAATTTTAAGGTGATTGGAGGAAGGTATAGGGGAGATGTCAGAGGTAGGTTCTTCACACAGAGAGTGATGGGTGTGTGGAATGTGCTGTCGGCAGTGGTAGTGGAGTCAGATACTTTAGAGACTTTTAAGCGACTCTTGGATAGGCACGTGGAGGATAGTAAAATGTAGGGTATGCAGAGTAGTTTGATCTTAGTAGGATAAGAGGATGACACAGCATCGTGGGCTGAAGGGCCTGTACTGTGCTGTATTGTTCTATGTTCTGTATGCTTTATAGTACTCCCTCAAAACACTGTGCCACCTGCAATGATTTGTGCACACAAAACCTTCTGTTTCTTACTTCTGCTTCCTTTTGGACCAGAAATGTGATTGTGGCATTGAGCAAATTGGTAGAACTATGGGCTGACTTGTTCCCTAGTCCTGATCGTTTCCATCATCAGGTCTTAAAAGAAGTGGGTGTTGAGACAGTCGATGCATTGGTTTTAATTTTCCAAAATTCAGGGAGGGATCCATTCGATTTGAAATTAATGAACATAACTGCTTTATTCAAAAACAAAAGGAAGGAGCCAGAAAACAGGAACCTCCAGGCCAATTGGCTTAACTTCTATCATAGAGAAGATGTTAGAACCTACTATTTAAGAAATTACAGCAAGACATTTACATCATTTCAAGATAATCAGGCAGAGCTAACAAGGTTTTTGAAAGAGAAATTGTATTGAAACAATTTATACTAGTTCTTTGAGAACATAATGTGCTGTGGATAAAGTGGTAGATACACAATACTTAAATTTCCAAAAGGCATTTGCTAAGATGCCAAAGCAAAGGTTAATGCAGAAAATAAGAGCCCATGATGTAGGGGTTTCATATTGGCATGGACAGAAGATTGGCTCACAAATAGGAAACAGAGAGTAGACATAAATGGATCAGTTGGTCATTGGCAAGATTAACAAGTAATATGCCGGGACCTTGACTTTTTACATAAATGACTTGGATGACGGAGCCAAAGATGCAGCTGCCAAATGTACTGATGACTCAAAGTCAGATAGGAAAGTAAGTTGTGAAGAGGGCAAAACAGATTACAGAAAGATATAGAAAGGCTAAGTAAATGGGCAAAGATCTGGCAAATCGGCCACAAGGTGGAAAAATGTGAAATCGACCATTTTGACAGGAAAAGTTTTTAAAAAGCATTTTATTTAAATGGTGAGAGATTGCACAGCTTTGAGATGTAGAGGCATGTGGGAAGCACAAAAGGTTAGTGTACTGATCAGCAAAAATTTAGGAAAGCAAATCGAGTGTTGTTAGTTTTTTGGGGAATTGAATACAAAAATAGGGAGGCTATGCTCCACTGACACAGGGCACTGGTGAGATCATATCTGAAGGACTGTGTAATGTATGGATCACCTTATTTAAGGAAGTATATAAATGTGTCTGAGATGATAATGGATCAGAATCTGATTTATTTGATGTAAGAGGCAGCGCTTTGCTTTCGAGCAACAAATGGGTTTTTGTTATATTTTAATCATTGAATCACTGTATCATGTAGTACAGCACAGAATGAGACCATTCAGGGCATCATGCCCATGTCAGCTTTCCCTGCTTTCTCCCCAGATGCCTACAATCATTGTTTTCACTTTAACTATTTACTCAATTCCCTTTTGAAAGCTACTACTTTCACTATCCTATCAGGGAATGTGCTCCAGATCCTAACCACTTTAAAAAAAAACTTTTCTTTATCCCACCTCTGATTCTTGTGCCAACCACCTTAAATCTGTGCTCTCGTGCTATTAGCCATTCAGCCATTTGAAACTGTTTCTCTTTGTTTAGTAAATGTAAATCCTTCATGATTTTAAATGCATCCACCAAATCTCCTTCTAGGCTTCTCTGTTATGTGGAGAATGCCTCCAACTTCAAAGTGAGAGGGGGCAAATTTAAGGGCCAAGTGCAGGAAATATTTTACACGCTGAGGTTGGTGGGTGCCTGGAACACACTGCCTGCCAGAAGCAGGCACGTTAGCAACATTTAAGGCTTATCCTGATAGACACATGAACAGAAAGCGAAATGAGAGATAGAAACCACGCATTGGCAATAATACTGGGTCAAAATACGGATTAGAACTGGTGCTGGCTTGGTCAGCTAAAGGACCTGACTCTGTGCTGTATCGAATTGTATTGTATTGTATAACTTCTCTGGTGCGGACCTCATCTAAAGTAGAGAGGTCCTTTAAATTTTAATTAGTATTGTGAAGTTCTTGAGATGGGAATGCTTATAGATATTTCCTAACCAGCCTGTTCAAAGATGTTATTACACAGCTCTGGAGCAGGTAGAGTTTGAACCCAAGTTTCCTGGCTGTGAGATAGGGACACTACCACTGCACCACAAGAACCCCATTCAGAAACACATATATACTTAGCCTGTGATATTTAGAATTGGGATGACACAAGCGATTGGGAGTTGGGTCTTTTATTACCTTTTCCCACTTGACTCCCTTTGCTGGTACATGTGTGTATGGAAGCATCAAGTGGATAAAGTGCTCAACAAAATTTTCAACGTGGTACAAGACTGGAAATTGTTGAATTCAATGGACAGTTTGCAAGACAGGAAGAAGTTGTGCAGTCCATCAAGCCTGTTCTTTGAAGAGTAGTTATGTCTACTCCAACAGCCTCTTTTATTAATTATCTGTAACCTCATAAATTCCTCATTCTTGTCTAATTCTCTATGGAATCAGCTTCCGGCAACTTATCAAACAGAGCATTCCAGATGTCAATGATTCTCTCAGTGAAGAACACTCTCCTCATTTCCCCTCTTGATCTGACGCTGATTACTTTAAATTTATGACTTCTGGTGAACTATCCACTTGCCAGAATGAATAGATTTTCTCCTTCTGCTCTGTCAAAAGCTCTCATAGTTTGAGAGTGGGTTGGAATGTTAATCAGAGTTTAACTTCTATTTGCTGAGGGAGTGCACTGTATTTGTGACCTTTGACTTTGCAGCCAGCAGAAACCAGCTTGAATAACTAGGTTGTCTCTGGACCTCTTGAAGTGTGAAAGCTTAAAGTTTTGATTTAGCTATAGTCAGGTTCTCATTATCTAGAATTAGCCTGAATATTTATACAAAGTCAGAAGTCACACGACATCAGGTTATAATCCAACAGATTGTTTGAAATCACTAGGCGGTGCCCCAGTGGTATTATCACTGGACTGTTAATCCAGAAACCCAGGCAGTGTTCTGGGGAGCTGGGTTCGAATCCTGCCATGGCAGATGGTGGAATTTGAATTCAATAAATATCTGGAATTAAGAGTCTGATGATGACTATGAATCCATTGTTGATTGTCGGAAAAACCCATCTGGTTCACTAATGCCCTTTGGGGAAGGAAACTGCCGTCCTTACCTGGTCTGGCCTACATGTGACTACAGATCCACAACAATGTGGTTGACTCATAACTGCCCTCTGGGCAGTTAGGGATGGGCAATAAATGCTGCCTAGCCAGTGATGCCCTCATCTCGTGAATGAATAAAGAAAAAAAAACAAGCTTTTGGAGTGCTGCTCCTTCGTCAGGTAACCTGTTGGACTATAACCTGGTGTCATGTGACTTCTGACTTTGTCCACCCCCGTCCAACATCGGCACCTCCACATCATGAATATTTGTAGATTGTGCAATCTGCTATGAAGCGTCACCTGATTGTGTATTTTGTCAAACCAGGTGCCTGTCCTGTGTGAACAGTCCCTATCGATGCCATTGGTGCAAATATCGACACATGTGTACACACGACCCAAGGACATGCTCCTTCCAGGAAGGGAGGGTCAATGTTTCAGAGGTAAGGACATTTCCCATCTTTTTTCACTCTTCTCACCCATGCAGCTGGCTGAAACAACTTGGCTTTGACAGACCAAAAGTTATAAGCACACAAGAATGGGAAGTTGAGATGAGGATAATTGACATATTCCAATTTGTCCTGCAACCTTTCTCCATGCAAGTAATAGTTTCAGGTTTGGCCAGTTGACATTTTCAAGATGGAGATTCATTTAGTTAGGTGAACATAGTGGGTAAATGGAGTTGAGACAGAGATCATCCATGATCTAATTGGATCTTGGAACAGGTTCTTGGGGCCTGAAAAGCTGTGTCTTGTTAGAATGTTCCTTACCGTTTGATTTTGGCTCATTCACAGTTTTGGTGACAGAGAATTCACCCAGCACTGTGAAGGTCATGACTTTGAGAACATTGGATGGAAGGCCAGAGCTGGAAGTCTCCAGCAATAAGTAGCATTGAAATATATTGATCTGTCAGTTGCATGTGGCATTTGGATAAAATGTGACAATTAAAGCAGATAATCTAGACTGATGCTTCAGAACTCTACCAAGGAGGCATTGTCAAAGATCTTTGGGCTGAAATATTAAACTGAGATCTGAACTGTGTAAAAGACAACAAAGAACTGTGAATGCTGGAGCTCTGAAACTAAAACAGAAAGTGCTATTCAAACTCAGCAGACCCCCCTGGCAGCATCTATAGAGAGAGGAACAGCCAAGGTTTTGAGTCCAGTGGCGCATTGTCAGAACTGCTTCATCATTTGTTTGATGCAAGGTCACTGGACTTGGAACATTGGCTCTGCTTTTCCCTCTAAAGATGCTGTTGGACCTGTTGAGCTTGTCCAGCTCTTTCTGTGCTCGTTTCTGAATTGCACATTCTGTTGATTCAGTTGGAGATTCTATTCATTCACAGGATGAGGGCATCGCTGGCTAGGCCAGCATTTATTGCCCATCCCTAATGACCCAGAATGCAGTTAAGAACCAACCACATTGCTGTGGGTCTGAAACCACATGTAGGTCGTTACTGGGTAAGGATAGCAGTTCCCTTCCCTAAAGGACATTATGAATCAGATGGATTTTTTTGACAATCAACAATATATTCATGTTCATTATCGGACTCTTCATTCCAGATTTTTATTGAATTCAAATCCATCTGGATTTGAACCTGGGTCCCCAAAATATTGCCTGGGTCTCTGGATTAATTGTGATAATAGCATGAGGCCATCACCTCTGAATCTGATTAAGGATTCCTATCCCACTGTTCTCCCAGGATTTCAAACAATATCACAACCCTCCATCAACAGCACCAGAAATCCAATGAAGTCCTTTTTTAAAAACTTTACTGTTTATGGGAGGAGCAGGAAAGCTGATGTTTCGGGTCTAGACCCTTCTTCAGAAATTTCTGAAGAAGGGTCTAGACCTGAAACGTCAGCTTTCCTGCTTCTCTGATGCTGCTTGGCCTGCTGTATTCATCCAGCTGTACACCTTGTCACCTCAGATTCTCCAGCATCGGCAGTTCCTACTATCTCTGTAACTGTTTATGGGAATATTGCAATCATTATTGGATGTGAATGTCTCAGACATGTCTTGGAGGAATTCTTTCCCTCTTTGCTCATCACCTTCTCTTATAACTCTGAAACAAGGCAGGTGTACACAACATTGTACTCTCGGCCAGTACACCTCTCTGTTGAGCCTGTTTTGTGATTGATTGCATGCTGTGTGACAATAGAAATATATCGACAAATAAGTTTTGCTCCCTTATTTTCAGTCCTTATTATAATCACAATGGTGTTTGGCTGACTACATTGCTCAGTGAGCAGTTTTAAGTTCTGTAGCCCCAGTAACCCAGCCCTACTCATTTCTCATTGTCGCATGATAAAGAGGCTGGAAACAAATGTAGAAATGTCATTTGAACTAAAGGACACTGGCCTAGATTTTGCTCTCAGAGACAAGTCTAGGGCTTTCACCATTCTCCTTGTTGAAAACTGCCTGAAGGCAGGCTTATCAGTCGAGATTTCTATTAATTTGTGCCCTATTCAGCAAATCCCTCCTACCACAGGGCATCCAATGGAGTACAGGAGGTGATTTACATTTTTAAGACGATGTAACCTTATCTGTGATTTTTTTATTAACTATTTTTCTAATCAACCTGTTCAGAGATGTTATTACACACCTCTGAAGCTGGTGGGACTCAAATGTGCGCCTCCTACTGCAGGGTTAAAGACACTACCGCTGTGGTATAAGAGGGCCTAATATTCCCCATCAGAGAAAATAGTCTCTATTTATGCTATTGAACCTTTACAGCACTTTGCTTAGATCGCCACTCAATGTTCAACACTCAGGGGAATGACTAAGCTTACGTAACCCCTCTGGTACAGTTTGACCCTCTCACCCAGGTATTTTTCTGGAGAATCTGCACTACACCCATCCCAGTGTTTCCTTCGTGAGGTAAACCACTCAGAAGTGCCTTTGTTTTTCACAACTGTCAGAAACTCTGACAAATGGAAAAATTGCAATGTTCTGTTTTATTTTGTTTTGCAAAGGCTCTGCAGGGACCCTACAGATATGATTTAGAACCTTTGTATGTACTTAGATGTGATTTTTATGAATAAAGTAGAATTTAAATAAAAACACCTCAGAACTGAGGCTACCAAGCACAGTCTGTCCAAAGCTTTGCACAATTGCAGCATTACATCCCTCCCTTTATATCACTATCTCCATGAGGTATGGGCTAGCATTATTTTACCCTTTTTGGTTCCTTCGCTAGCTTGAATACATTTGCATACTTGTAATTTAGTTTTGAGCCATCCAAATCATGGCCACTCTCTTTTTTGTTTCTGAGGGAGATAAATTTTTGCGGGGTCTTTAAATATTCTTGCTTTTACAAGGAAATATGAAAACACATTTTTGCTTTGAGGATTTGATGATGGAGGAGGTTAGAATGTTATCTGACCTTGGGCGAATTTAAACTGCAGCTGTTTGCAGCAAGATAGTTTTGGTTTTGAGGTCAAATTGTGTAGACCTAGACTCTGGGTTGAATCTGCAGGGATGTTAATCAAATTCCCTGATGAAATTACTGTTGGCCTGCTCCATTTTGACATAACAAGGATTGGGAACCCTCTGTGATTGCACTGGAGTCACCAGCAATGAAAAATTAATCCAGGGAAAAAGAAAACGTGTGCTATTTTGTTTTCTGCTTTCATTTCTTAGTTTTAAAAATATTGGAAACAGCAGAGAAAGGCTGTTTGAATGACAGCCGTATTTGCCCAGTTAAAAGCATTCTTGCTTGCCAATTGGCTGGGTGAGAGTAACGTTGCCAAGATTGATATGTTGGTCAACCAATGGCAGGAGCAGGAGGGTGGGTCAGTTGGTTGCTGGGAATTTTGTGAAGAAATCGCCAGGCAGATGTCCAACAACAGTTCATAATCTAGGTGTTAGTTTAACCGGAAGCCTGTGGTGAGAACATCTTTAGATCTACCCAGAATTAATTGTGACTAGCTAGAAGACTGGGAATGCTACCACATGTTTGTTTATATTTGTTGATGGGATGTGGGTGTCACTGTCTAGTCCAGCATTTATTGCCAATCACTAATTACCCACAGGGCAGCTTAAGGTCAACCACATTGTTGTCACATGTAGTTCAGATGAGATAAGGATGGCATGCTCTTGATCAGTGTCAAAGTTTTCTCATTTTCTTGCTCTTTCGACTTGCAATGTTATTTCAATACACTCCTGTCTGGTCACCCTTTTTCTATCCCATACGTTCAAGGTCAACCAAAGGTCTGCAACCCATTTCTTAACTCACACCACAGAATCATAGAGTTATGGTGCAGAAGGTGACCATTTTGCTCATCGTATTACAATGGCTGTCTGAGCATTTAAACCTAGAGCCAATCTCCTGCAATTTCCCCCAACCCTGCATATTGTTTCTATTTAACTCATTTTCTAATGCCATCTGGAATGTCTTGTTTGAAACTGCCTCCACTGCACTGTCAAGCAGATCTTCTTTATCTAACTACTCGCTATGTGAACTTTTTTCTCACCAAGAGTCAATGCATCTTGAAAACAAAGCCCAGTGACTCCTGGATGCAGTGACCTACGTTGGCTCCCGGTCAAACAACACCTTGATTTTAAAGATCTCATCCTTGTTTTCAAATCCATCTGGGGCCAAGTCATAGAATTCCAACGGTGCAGAAAGGGGCCATTTGGCCCATCAGGGTTTGCATGGGGAAATTTAGCATGGCCAATCCACCTAACCTGCACATCTTTGGACTATGGGAGGAAACTGGAGCACCCAGAGGAAACTCATGCAGACACAGGGAGAACGTGCAAATTCCACATAGACAGTCACTGGAGGCTGGAATTAAACCCCAGGTCCCTGGCGATGTAAGGGACCAGTGCCGACCATTGATCCACTGTGCTACCCTTTTGTGATCTCTTCCAGCCTCACAACTTTCCACACTGTTTATGTTCCCCTCCTTCTGACCTTTTGTGCCTCCCTGATTTAACTCAGCTCCAACATTGTCAACCCCTCACGACACCTCTCCAACTCACTTTCCCCGTTTAAGCCCTTACTTTAAATTTACTTTTTTGACTAAGCCTTTGGTAATCGGACCTCATATCTTTTTTTTCTTTGCACGGTGCTATACTTTGTTCTGTACTGCTCCGGTGAAATCCCTTGGGCAATTTTATTACACTGGAGCTGCAATATAAGTATGTATTGTTGTTTTGGTATTTATTAAGAGGCTGGGAATGAAACAAGAAGCTGAGCAGTTAATAAGATCACCGTTCTGGACATTGTGTCTGGGAACCTTTGGACCACTGGCATAAATAAATAAAAAATAAACAGGAAATGTAGACTTCCTGTGATAGGGCAATGACTGGTTGGAGACAGATTTGCAGAGTTTAGCTTCAAAGATGACAAGAATCTGTTCGGAAATGATGCATTTGTATTAAAAGAAAATACGTAACTTTATTTTTTTCTTGACAGTGACAGGGATGCGATAAAAGC